TAACGAATATAAGTACTGAGAGAGGCTAAGCCATGGAAAAGGAAATGGAGAAATTGATAAAAAAATGGGTCAATAAGGGATGTAGTCTACCCAGACTAGCTATCCAACATAGTGATGGTTATAAAAGACAATGGAAAGTAGCGCCTCTGCGTGGACTTCACGAAGCTCAACAAAGCTTATCCCAAAGACAGCTATCATCTCCCACACATCGATCTCCTTATTGAGGCCACTACAAGTCACGAGCTTCTGAGTTTTCTAGATGCCTACGCTCAGTACAACCAGATCAACATATTCCCTTTAGACTAGGAAAAAACCTCCTTTATCACCCTGAAAGGGCACCTATTGCTACAAAGTGATGCCCTTTGAACTCAAGAACGTCGGAGCCACATATCAGTGCCTCATGAACAAAATGTTCGAGGCTCAGATTGGGAAGACCATGGAAGTCTATGTGGACGATATGTTGGTGAAGAGTATGGTCATGGCCTACCATGTGACACACTCTAGGAGACCTTTGATGTACTGAGATCCTACAAGATGAAGCTAAATCCTGAAAAGTACGCCTATGCCTTAATGGAAGGATTGCAACCCTCAACATGTTTGTCTGAAAGTCAGCAGACAAGTGCTTGTCTTTCTTCAAAATCCTCCGCAAATCTTTCCAATGGGGACCAAATGCAGAAGAGGCCTTCTAGAAGCTGAAGGTCTACCTCGTCACACCACCCTTGCTTTCTCATGCTGTACCGGGTGAGACATTATACCTCTATCTCTCTTCTTTGTCCTATGTTGTGAGCTCTGTCCTTGTCAGGGATGATAGAAGTATCCAGAAGCCTATGTTTTATGTATGCAGGGCATACCAAGGACCAAAGGTAAGATACTCGGAGCTTGAAAAGTTAGTTCTTGCACTTGTCACCATCGTCAAACGTCTATGCCACTACTTTCAGAGTCATACCATCATGGTTGTTACAGATCAACCACTCAAGAGAATTTTGAAAAAGCCTGATGTGTCTAGCTGACTACTCAAGTGGGTCGCTGAGTTAAGTGAGTTTGATATGTAGTTCCAGCAGAGGGCGACCATCAAAGTGCAAGCAGTTGTGGACTTCGTGGTCGAGTATACACCACCACAGGAATCTTGGGAGGAAGTATCATGCGCCCCTATGCTCACCTGCTCAGTACATGATGTCTCCACTCACCACGAGGCAAGACTAGACATTATCCCGAGAGAGCCTAATGTCTCAAAGACAACTCCACAGGCCTCGGGAGACCATACTTTGAGACTAGAGGCGCCCAACTCCTTGGTGTCCACTCCACAAAAGCCCTTCGCGCACTCGTCCACTGCACCATGTTAGAGACTATATATAGATGGGTCCTCCACCAACGAGGGCGGCAGCGCAGGACTAGTGCTGATCACCCTATGACACTCCACTTAAGTACGATGTTTCTCTCTACTTTGCAACATCGAACAACCAAGCTGAATATGAGGCCCTTATATCAGGCTTAAAGCTCACATTGGAGATGGAGGCCCTTTGCTTGATAGCCTATAGTGACTCACATCTGATAGTCAACCAGGTGATAGGAGATTTTGAAGCAAAGGGGAAAAGAATGCAAGAATACCTGTCAGTGGTCCAGGCTTTGTTAAAAAGGTTTACCTACTTCCAAATCCATCATGTGCCCTGAGAGGAGAACTCCATGGCAGATGCCCCTCGCCAAGTTCATGTCTGCCAGCATACTCATGGGCCTAGTATTGATAGGGCACCAGTTTGAGCCAAACATTATTGAGGCAGGAGAGGACGACGTTAATTGTACAACCTCTTAAGCTAACTGGATGACACCCATCCAAGCCTACCTAGAGGAGGGCATTCTCCCGAACAATCCAGTGGAAGCCAAAAAAGTTGAAAATGAGAACGTCCAAGTATGTTGTCTTACGCAACACACTCTACAAAAAGAGTCATTCACTGCCATTTCTCCATGGTCTTACCCCCCGACGAAGCCGATTATGCTATAAGAGAAATTCACGATATGATTTGTGAAAATCACTCGAGAGGGGCGTGCACTGGCCCACAAAGCAGTAAGACTAGGCTATTACTGGCCTAGCCTGATCAAAGATGCTCGAGAGTTCGTCAGGAAGTGCGATAAGTCACAACGCTTCGTAACTGTGTTAGATAGCCACCTGAAGAGCTCACCACCATTCAGAGCCCGTGACCCTTCTCCATATGAGGGATCAACATCCTAGGTCTCCTACCCATGAGTCGGGGCCAATGCAAGTTCGTACTGATAGCATGACTACTTTACTAGGGGCAGAAGTCGAGGCCTTGGCTAGGATAACTGACCAGAAGGTGAAAGACTTCATCTGGAGGAGCATAGTCTGCATCTTCAAAATACCTCATGCAATTGTAAGTGATAATGTCAAACAGTTTGACAATAAACTCCTTAATAGTTTATGTGTTGACCTACAGATCAAGCAGCCCCACTTCAGCCCGACCCACCCACAGGTAAACAAATAGGCAGAGGTCATTGTCAGGACCATCCTCTACAATTTTAAAATCAAATTGGAGAATGCAAAAGGATGATGGGTAGATGAACTCCTGGGAGTGTTGTGGGCTTAACGGAAAACACCAAGAAGCCCTACAGGTGAGACCCTTTTTTCCCTAGCCTATGGGATAGAGGCGATCATACCTGTTGAGATTAGGATATACTCCCTTAGGGTCCAGCACCATGACCCTACCAGCAATGAATAAGGTCTCTGCATCAACATTGACTAGGTAGAGAAAGAGATGGAGATAGTCATGCCTAGGAATGTAGAATATAAGCATCACATGACCAAGTACTACAACTCGAGGGTGAAGCCTCGCTCCCTCTTGCTCGGGGACCTAGTCCTCAAAAAGGTCATCCTGTCTACCAAAGATTCTTAAGAAGGAAAGCTAGGACCCTACAAGGTCACAGAAGTTGTAAAACCAGCCACCTATAGAATTCAAAAATTTGAGGAAAAAGTTCTAGCCCATCCATGGAAAGCAGAGCACCTAAAGAAATATTACCAGTAGCTGGGGGCAAGACAGTGGTGTACAAGTCAGTAGTCACTATTTAAATTATCTATTATTATTTTGGTTAATTTTCATTGTTATTTACTTCGGATTATGAAATAAAATTTTGCAAGACTTCTTCAAAAATTGTATCTCATTCTATAAAGTTCATAAACTATTTACAAAAGATAGAACATGCCTAGCAACAAAAACACGTAGATAGAAATACCATACTCCTGGCATCACTCATGTTCCCTGATCAACTCCCATCAAAGCTCTCCTCCTCGTCATCAGTCCTTGGAGCCTCATAGGGGACAAAGCTAGAAAAATCATAAGCAGGAAAAGTTGCTTAGACCTTACCCTTGAGCTCCTTATAGCCATCAATAAAGGCATCTTCCAATACCCTCTTAGTAGCGTCTCTCTTTTTCTCCATCTCAACGGAGTAAGCCTTTGCCCTGGTAGCTCTCTCAAGAGTTGCTCGAAGGTCAGCCTTTGCTCCAGTGGCCCTCTCATGGGACGCTGGCAGCTCTGTCTCTACTCTCATGCAAGCAACCTCTCTATCAGCCTCTAGCCAGACGACCTTCTCACGGGACGCCAAAAGCTCGGTCTCTAGTAGGGTAGCTTTCTCACGTGTTAGCCTTAACTACTCCTCGATAGCCTCTCATGCCTCCCTCTCGAGCCCCAACTGCTCCTCAGCAACCCTCTGTGCCTGTCTCTCTGTTGGCTGATCACTAAGCGGCTCTCTAAGCTTCAACGTGCTCGAAAACAAGCAAGGCAATAGCCACCTATAGGTATTCAAAAGGCAGGAACATGAAAGAAAAAGCCATGTACAAGATTGAAGATCAGTAAAAGACATACCATGGCAAAGCCCACCATAGCAGTGTTAATGATGCCCTTTGGACCTCAAGAGCAACCTCCTGGATCTCTGTGGCGGTCACAAATCCCCACAATCGCTCCTTGGTCAGATTCACGTCCTATAGCATGGACACCAAACCACTGCTAGGCAGAGCCTCAATCCTCGTAAGAGACCACATTGGGGCCTCAATCCCCATGATCGTACTAGGACTAGCTCTAAGGGGTGAAAGAATAACAACCTAGGAAGAACTAGGGTCACCACCAGGTCCTACCTCTCAAGGACTAACCTGGCCGACAAACACCAATTGAGGAAAACTAGGGGCATCAGACTTCCCTCTTAGAAGAATGAGGGGAAGACACCACCCTGGAAGCGTAGATAGCCTCCACCATTACTTTATCGATAGAGGTACCTGCTGACTTGGTGTGAGACAAAACGATTGCAATGTTGTAACCATCAGGAGTTTATTGGAAGGATTAAATACCTTTCCTCTTCGGCCTATGAGAGACAATGGGATGACCTGACGCAAACATAATCTCCAAGAATTCCTTGAAAGGATGGTCACACACTATCTGAAGTCTACTCTCCCGCTCCATAGATAATGTGGGTGAAACTACAAAGGAACCAATCACACAGTAAGAACAAATGTGTGTAACAACTAGACGTTGGGGGCCAACCTCCTGAGAGCTAGCGATAGGTGTCCTAGAATCCGACAGATGGGTCTAGGTATTGGGAACCTCAACCCTACCTCTAAAGCATCCTAGTAAAGGAATATCTCACCAAAAGAATCATAGCATGCTGGCTCATCCTCCTCCACCCGAAGACACATGACAACAGCAGTCATACGGTATGAAGACACAATATAAACGATGTTATCATCACAGTCAATAGAGTTAAAAATGGAGGTTACCTTCGAACAGTCGCCTTCAGCAGTCCCTTTGCCTAGTCGTGAAGCCTACCTAACATCCATTGTATCGCCCCTATTGGGTCAGGCACCTGGCACAATAATAAAAGGCAATGAAAATGAACAGGCGTCAAGATTAACGAAAAGGTAAAAAATGTTAATTTACAAATCAAAAGGTAGTACCTTGATTCCTTCCATTGTCTGGTCTATCATCTTCATTTTCAACTACCTAAGTGGATGACACTACAGCACCGGTGATTGGTCTTCCTACCCCTAAGCCTGTACCGTCATCACCACCGCGGGCCCTTACCAGATGGTCGCAATCAGAATCCTGCCTACAATCTCCACTCCACATACCTCTGGCATCTCCTAGCGAATCTAGTGCAACGTAGGTGTCGTTTGGCGCATTGGCACCGCTTGGCGTGGCGTGGCGTGGCCCCTTCTGCTCTCTACAATGGTGTTAGTTAAACAACCTAACTTGCGACTCCTACCGCTGCTTCCTTCGCTCAAGGCGTGAGTCCCACAATCCAAGATGCTGCCCAAGCCACTTGAAGTGTCACTACCCGAGCCCCTGGCACTATCACTAATGGAGCCGCACCTCTATCCACCCCAATTCTCACATCGAGGGCGCTGCCTTGGTCTCCTATGGCAGCACCAGCAACACCTCTCACCTCGTCCCTTGTGGCATCGAGTTTAGTGCCATGGGCGCCCCTGTCTTCACCTCCTATGGTGTCGCTAGCGCTATGGGTGTCGCCCCTTGCATCGACGCCCTGCTCAACTGTGTCCTCTCCTAGACCAGCGTCGCCCATCTTCACCCTATTCGTGGCAGCGCCTGGCTTTGACCATGACATTGCGGGATCGCCAAGGCCTAGATCTCCCAAAGGCCTTGCAATCATCTTCATCGCATAGCCATCCATGGACCTTCTTCTTGTCGTTCTCTCACTGCCCTACATCCATTTTTCCTATGAACTCTCTCTCTCAATGGCTCTTGAAATGAAGAAGACTCAATGGGGAAATAAGGTTGGGGAAAAGATGGGTGAAGGATTTTCTAAGCCTTGGTTATAAAGAGGAAATTTTAGGAAAAACGGGGAAGGACCTCTGTAACTCTAAAGTTTGGTGCCCTAAAATAGGAGATTCAGGCTTAGCAAAGACTTACCATAGGGGAGGATAACCAAAGCTATGGATGCCTAACCATGGAGTTACCAGAAGATTCTTGATCGAGGGAAACGAAGAGACTACCGTGGGAAAGAATAAGGTTTTTGCATGTTAAGATGAGGAAGATAACACTGTGAGGAGCAAGAAATCCTTTTTAGACGATGGGGCTCACTCATGCCCTTAACCCCTTTTTGTCACCACTAGGGCTTGGGGCATGGGGGCAAATGATGAGCCCAGAATCAACTAGATTAGGCCCAATAAGTCAAGTAGGCCTAAATCAGCTAAAAGGCAAGTGAAGCCCAATTCATAAATTCAACCCAGCCTAAGGTCTAAGGAGTCCAAAAGGATTAGACCACGTGGGGAGTAATCATCGGGATACTCACTCTCAAAGATCAAGGCAACCTTTAGTTGTACTTACCTTTTGTGGCTCCCTGAAAAACTAGTATCTTTACCCTCAAGTCACCGCCTCAACTAAGGCTCTGTGCCTATAAATTGTAAGTTCTCTTCATTGAGAGGGGTATTTCTACAACCTCTCTACACACCCTACACATAGATTTTCTCTCTCCTAGCTATTGTACCTCTCCGATAGCTATCCTTTGCTCTCTTTCACCTTACTTTATTAATAAAGGTTCTCCGGCCACCGTTGCAGTTTTTCGAAGTGGAATAGGTCATCCAGATCGAACCACTATATATATGTGTGTTGACCCAATATTTACCTTTTTTCCATTAGTTGTTTTATTAATTGTCTCATTAATTCCCTACATCATTCACTCGACTGTTGATCTTGCATAAACCTATTTTGTACATCCCCAATTTTAAAGAACAAGTTAAAGATATTGTGTGTGTTTTTAGAAATAATTTTTTTAGAATTTAAAAAACACTACCACCATCACTATAGTTTCACCACCACCACGTCCACCACACTTCCACCATTACCACCACCATCACCACCACATTTCCACCACCACCACACTTCCATTACCACCAATACACTTCCAGCACCAGCACCAGCACCACCACCGCACTCTCACCAGCACCACTAATACCACATCCACCACACCACCACCACCATGTCCACACATTCACCACCACGTCCTCCACACCTCCACCACCACATTTCTATTTTTCATTATTTTCTAGATTACTATCCAAACAAGTTTTAATATTTTATATTCCGTAGAATTATTTTTGAAATGATATAACCAAACAAGTTTTGTGACATTAAAAAAATGCTAAAAATAGTTTTTTAAAACTCTTTCTAAAAATATTTTTTGAATACTATTTTTTGAGATGCAAAACAAACAAACCCTAAAACTCTCCATAACTTTGTCTCCATTTCAGACTTACAATTTCCTTGACAAAAATAATTATAATCAACGCTAAAATCACTGGCATGTGGCATCACCATTTAATTTGTCACTTGTTTAACTAACAAATGAGTTAATGTATTCGATAAGAGTTAATGTATTCGATAAGAATTAATGAAATATTTACTTCATAAAAAATTAGTTTCATTTTGTTCATTTTAGAATCTAATTAGATGGGTGAGACTGTGATACCATATACTCAATACAACAGTTTGTAATATCACTATTTCACATATAGTCTTATTTCTCAATGATATTTTACGATCAAGATAATTTGTTGAATCTCGTGAAACATAAAATATTTACAAGCTTTCTATTGTCGTGTTCCATACACTTTTATCATTGGCTAAATTTATTCTTGGTGAGCTGAGCCAATAGGATGAACTAAATAAATTCTACATCGTGAATTACTATGCAAATCACTTAGACCGATTCTAGAAAGTCGTGTAGAATGAAATGAAGGAATCAAATATCAAACAAAATACAAAGAAATAAAAGGATAGTGAATTCTATTTATTTATACCTTATCAGGATTTGGAACTGAGTTCTATCTATTCTCAACTCCCCTAGATAGTGAAAAAAGTGCCCCAATTGGTAGGAAAAAAATTCACAACCCCTGTGGGATTATCCTACACTTGGAAGAAGAAAGAATACATATAGTGATAATTTGATTCTTTCTCATCATAGTAACATAAATATTTTTTAGTACACAATCAATAAATCAATTCATTTTCAATTACACATTTCTCTAGCTTCTTTAGAGGTTATTATTTACTTTGTATCTCAATACATGTATTTTTTTTACCTATTTATGCATTCATAGCACAAGACTTTACTATTTGGAGCTTTGTAATGAAATTTGCTCTTGAGTCAATTTTCTCAATCTTCGTTGGCTCGAAGCACTTCATGGCTTTTTTTTTTTTGTAGATTAATTTAATTGGAGTTTGAAGAAGGGGAAGGAGAATGACCCCGCAACCCCAACCCCTTAATGCCGCATTGGATGGAGGAGGATTTATGCAATCACATAGTTTAGGCTCCTAGAATATGCGCCCTTGGTGCTTTCTATTTGATGGTATCAAAAGGCCCAATGAATTGGTTTTCATATTGGCCTATGTCATTTTGAGGCAAGTGGATCATTTATAATGAAGAGGGTGATCTTCAAGAGAAAGATTTAGAGTTCTTGTAGAGTAGAACCATGCATTACCGGATATTGAAAAGTCTAAATGATCAACTCTATAATAAGTTGTTAGAATCAAATAGATCTTGAATCGTGAATCCATCATTATCTCTTTCAAAGAAGAACCATTTCGGTTCTATCGATGCTTGAACCAATTTGTATTCTCCATAGTTCTACATCTCTATAGTTAATAATTTTATATGATAAACTACTGAACTTATTCATTGCTTGTCATTATTCTGTAGTTGTTTGCTAAGGTTTATCCTGTAGAGGTACCCAAATTGGACTTAGGGATCAATTTCTAGGTTTCTTCATAAACATAATTGGTTATTTCCAATTACGTAAATTGATTTTTGATGGAATGAAGATGACATGTATGGCAGAATCATAAGAATAAAATATGACCCTAATCAAGATGCATACATTTGTCTCATACACTATGAAGATGGTGAGAAGAAATATATTTTGCATTCGAGATGGGATATAATTGGAGATAGCATTGTTTGTGGTACAGAAGTTTCTAAAAAATAGGAAATGTCTTACATTTTAGTATGGTTTGAACTATTGATTTATGTAATTGAAAATAATTGCCTAAAAATTCAAGAGTTCAACACCAATAAAGTAGATATACCAACTTATCACAACAAACTCCAAAATATTTTTATGGTGGGAATGAACAACAATCTATATAGCGCTGATTCAAATTCCCATATTGAATCCCATTCAATTAAAATTTTCAATATTATGCTTTGAAGATGACTCAAACCTCAACGCTTTTTAGCAAGAGATTTTGAGTCTTGCATGTCTAATATTTCACCACCAAGGCATTTGAAAGGGAATCATATTCCACATGAATATGATATTTATATAGAGTAATGTATGGAATAAATGATAATTGTGAAGTGTTGAACTATTTCTATTACATGTGCTATGGTAGAAGTTTTGTATAAATGTATTGACATGCTATTAAATATTTGGGAGAATCTCAATTTTCACCTTAAAAAATTTAAGTTTGTTCACTTTACACCCCAAAAGATTTCTCACTTTGCACCCTTAATGTATTAAAAGTGTGACAATGTGTCCCTTCCATTGCTTATTTCATCAACATCTGTCACATTGATGATGACGGAATGAGTAAAGAAACTAACAGAAATATTAGATTGAAACAATTTTAATACATTAAGGATGAAATATGAGAAATTTAATCTTTGAGGATGTAAAGTAAAAATTATTAAATCTTTTAGAGTATAAATCGCAATTCACCCAAAATATTTTTATTTAAGTTCTTTTTTATTTTTAAGAGGTTGTAAACCCCACATGTTCGTCTTAATATAATGAGGTAACTATACATGTGGTGATTGTAGAAAGAGCTAAGATATGTTGAGAAGCTTGAAGTTTTTGGATGGTCACTTATAAGAGAAATAATTTAGTTAAGTTTTAAATATATGTAGAGTCAAATAACATCAAAAATAAATCTAAAATATCGAGAAACCTTAAAATAGGTGATATAGGGTATATTGGAAGTTTGAAAGTATTCCGAAGTTGAAATGCATTTTGGAGAGAATTCGATAGAAAGGAATTTGACACTACCTTAGTATTTAGTTTATAACTTTCTACGCCAATGTCTAACTGATTTGAAATTTTATAATAGAAACTAGACTTTCAGGGTTACAAAAGTATATTTCACAAAACTTTCGTGAATTGACTTTTAAGTAGGTCGAAATCGAGGCAAAAGTCAGAGACAGAGAGAATTCACCATTTGAAAGCACATCAATCATTCAAATGCACACTGGCCATTCGAACGTGCCTCCGAGTTTAATTTTTAGCATTTTTTTCCCATTTTTGTCTTATAAATACCCAATGGACGGGTTTTAGGCTATTTTAATAATTAATTCAACCCTAGAAAGTTAAAGGAAGTTGGGGAGAAGAAATAGGGAGATCTTTTGACAGATTAACGTAGGGAATCACATCAAAATGTATTATGATCAAAGCTTGCAAGAATTAAGGTATGAGATTGTTCTTAGTTTTTTTATTGAGACTTAGGGTATTATTTTATACGTTTTGAATCTCCTTGGTTTTATATGTTAGATAATCGCTCATTCTTGATTTGTATTTCAATT